ATGGTCGACGGCCATGTGGTTGGGAACGAAGTCAAGGAACAACCTCAGGCCTACAGCCATGTCATTACTCATTCCCCATCCACAACAACTTCTGTCCTCCCCCATTGCCCCATCGTCAGCATCCCTTCCTCCTCCCCTCACCTGCTATCCTCTCCTCTCCTCTCCTCCCCTCGCTTCTTCTCTCCTCCTCTCTCCTCTCCTCTCCTCCCCTCCCCTCCCCTCCCCTCCCTTATCCTTTCCTCCCCTCTCCTCTCCGGAGGCTCCTCCATCTGACCTCGCTCGTGCAATCTACTGCGCAGCTTTGCCAGCGCCAAGTTCCCGCCGAACTCGTTGTTCACAGAGTAATCGACGATGGCGTATGGAGAGCTGGCTGCTCCAGCAGCTGCCGTGGCTGCTCCTTCGCCTCCTCCGCTTCCTTTCATTGACTTCTGCAGGCTGAACTTGCTCGGCTGCCAGACTCCCATCAAGCAGAGAGCGTCGAAACCAGCTTCAGCATAGCTGCCTCACCCATTAGATCGCCCTCGCCCTCGCCCTCTCCTCTCCTCTCCTCTCCTCTCCTCCCCTCCCCTCCCCTCCCCCCTTCTCCTCCCACTTCTCTCCAACCCCTTCTCCATGAAACGCCTCATACACGCTGCTCTCCACTCTCGCCCTTGCTCTCCTCCCGCGCCCTTGCTCTCCTCCCCTCTCTCACTCGTCAAGGTCCTCGTCTGCCATCTCGTTGATAGTCGCCTGGTTGCCCAGCCGCAGCTTCAGTTCCGACACCATGATCCTGTCCTCCACGTCACTGCTGGCCGCGAGGAAGCACATCTGTCGTCACCGAGCATCGAGCGAGTACACCGCCGGGTTCTTGACCAGCGGGAGGAGAGCAGAGGAAGAGACGTACGAAGAATGGGCGAGAAGGCAGAGGAAGGCAACGGACGCTCCGAGCATCCTGCTTATCCTCTTACCCTTTTCGTTCATGAGGTCAGATCTTCATGCACAAGCTGAACCCCCGCCTGTACAAGGAAGTCATTGAAACCACCACAATGCACATGAGCCATGGTTTGAAGTTAAAAACTCGGCTCAACAAAGATGTACACACTCGTCTTCCCCTCACAGGGAGTTTGCAAGGTAGTCAGGTCGTGGTTTCTTGCTCTCGGCTTCCTGTTACCCAAACTCCACACTTCCATTCATCTCTTGCTAGAACAATCCAAGACTGTTCGTATTTCTGTTCTACTCATTCAATATGGTCGCATCGTCAACATAACCCTCGAATGCAAGTGGGCTTACCTCCCCTCCTCCTCCTCCTCCTCCTTGAACATCTCGTTCTCCTTCTCCTTCTGCTCCTGATCCTACTTCCCTTTGTCTGCGGTGATAATCTTCGTCCTCGTTGTCTTTCATACTCTGGGCTATTCTTCTTCCTCCTCTTCCTCTGCTTGCTCTTCGTTCTCTGCTTCCTCTGGAGGTCCCGTAGGAGGCTGCATAGCAGAGAAGGTGAGCGATGTAGTAAATGGATTTTATTATCTTTTAGATGCGTTCTGATACTGTTTGCATTCAAAATTTTGTATATTTTGTATACAGAAAATAAAATAAAATTTTGGTACATATAACGATATCGGGATACTAATAAAGGTATAAAATACTTATTAAAAACAAATTAATTACCAGTTACAAATTTAAAACTCCAGCCGGATTTTGGCGCACAGGAAGCTGTAAAAGCAAACATGGGCTCCCTACGAGTGCACCGCGCGGCTAGCTCTGCCATGGGGAGCACGAGAACGACTAGAAGGATCGAGCATGCCACTTGTCCATGTCTTCTATCATCAGAAGAGTTCCGTCATGGCAGGGATGGAGGATGGACGCTCTCACAACTTGAGGATCCTCTCGAGCAACGCAGAAACTCGCTTCACGCATCTGAGGCTAATACACTCTTAAACGCTGAAAGAAGTTTCATGATTGTGTCAGCTCCGATCATAACACACCTCTTTCAAGTTGAATCCGAAAGATTTCTGACCCTCTCGTCACCCACCTACCTCTAATTGCTACATTTTTTCCTCACCTCAAAACACCTCGCCCCTTGCTCAATTAACTTTTTCATGACCTCATGAATTGATCCCCTTACTCCTCCTCCCACCATGTCCCTCTTACCATCATCTTCCAAGTGCTTCTATCCACATGATAGGATTTTGCTCAGCTCCTGACGGGGGGGCACCAAGGTTCCTGTCTGTCTTGGTGCTGTACCCTTTGTTCCAGACGCAGCGGTATCGATGAACAGATCGACTTTATTAAGTAGAGGCGGTGCAGGGCGAATTTGAGCATGCGCAGGCTGCATGGCCCCTCCTATGTCTGGCTCGCCTTCTCTTGGTTGCTTGCCTGCCCGTCCTTCTTTTCCTCAACAGGCTTCTTGTCACTGTTGCCGTCAAGAACCTGGACCACGTAGTTGTGGTTGGTGTAGATGCAGGTGTCGCTCGCAATCTTCATCGACCTCCTCGCTACCTCCTCGGCATCGAGCGACTCTATGTCGATCAACGCCATTGCTGCACACTGTGCATAGATTCCACCGCTGCCAATGCCAATGACCCCGTTCATCGGTTCGAGGATGTCTCCGTTACCTGCGTCATAACAGCTGTATCAGTACGAAAGCATGACCCAAAAATCAAACAATAGATCATGATAATGATCAGGAGGAGGAGGAGGAGGAGGAGGAGAGGGAGGAGGGGGAGGAGGGGAAAAGGAGGAGCGGGGAAGATTATTCAAAAATCGACGCACCCGATATCGTAAGCGAGAGATCTTTGTCAGCGACGACCATGACGGCATTCAGAGTTCGACGCAAACTCTTGTCGCTCCTCCATTCCTTGGCAAGTTCGACACACGCACGCATGAGCTCTGGATACTGGTCCAGCTTGCTTTCAAGCCTGTCAAACAGAGCCAAAGCATCCACAGCAGCACCAGCAAACCCAGTCAAAATCTTCCCGTTCTGCAGTGTCCGAACCTTCTTTGCATTGTCCTTGACAACGTAGGAACCCTGAGTGACTTGACCGTCCCCGATCACTACAACCTTGCCTCCTTTTCGCACGCATAGGATGGTTGTAGCATACATGGTCTCAGGCGTGCCGGGATGCGAGGCATATGACCGATTCTCAAGAGCAGAGGCAAAAGGGAGGAAGCGATTGAATGAGAGAGGAAATGCATGGACACCGTACATGTTTCTAAGCCCCTGGAAGCCTCCGACTGTACCAGAGGTACGCAGAGATCCTCCGAAAGCAAGGTTGGTCGCAGCACAGCAGGACAAACGAGGAAAGGACGCAAGGGATGTGAACGACCTCGAGGAAAGAGGGAGAGTGCGAGAAGGAAGGTTCCCCGACTTGAGCTTCAAGAATCTGAAGCTACCTTGACCGGCATCACTCATTGCGCTGCTGTTTCCTCGCAACGCCGCCGTCCTCATCATTTTCAGCGATCCTGCCATCGCGGACATCTTGCAGAATAACCCACCCCACCATGCAAGATCCACTATCACTTGACCCATAACAGTCATACACCCTACCCATATATTTAGATGAAAATTTCAGATAACAATACGGGTATAAGCTATACCCCACCCCCCAAATTTCATCTCAACTGTTTGGGACCCCTGCGATTCTCCCCATCACCCCTACCGCAACAAGCAATTCCACTACCCCATGTCTGAATCAGAACGGCAAATCTACCCGTACTTTTATGGTCATCTGGGGGGGTGAAGACAAATCCTGTGTAAAAGTGACCTACCGTACCTTATAAGACCTCCCTATGACCCCTTAGGACACAAACACTGATGACTAGCCCGGGCCCGGGATCTCTTCGGTCGAGTATGGGCCGGACTCCGGAACTTGAAACCGTAACACTGCCACCCAGGCTGGTTGACTGTGAGTGCCATGCCATGATGTCCCTGGCAGGAGATATGGCGGAAGGATTGCGCGAAATCACGGTTGAACTCACTCGTAAGGCTTGGAACTCGGAACCGTGAGTAGTCACTGAGTCAGTTTAGAGCGGCAACTTTCTTAATTCATTGAATCATTGAACAACTTTACTTTTAAACATTCTTTTTGATACGCGCAGTGCTTCATTCTTGCACACTGTGACAACTTCGTTTGTTAGAGCGCTCCCGCCATTTTTCGCGTCATGGTGGTGCTGTTGACAGTGAATCCGCGCGCCAGGTGAGGCGCCGAGTCTATGGCCGGGCACTGAGGCCGCCGCACTATCCGAAACTTATAAACTTATGAACCGAAACGCCGCCGAGCAACTAGGCCCCACTGGACCGTGAGACAGGCAGAAGAGCGGCACCGTACAACTCGCTGCCTGAGTCGTGTCAGTGTACTCAGGGGAGTGACGGTCAACGCGGCGGTCCGGGCCGCGCGGCGGCGGGTCCTAATCCGACAAACTTGAAAGTTGCTCGTCTGCCTTCGCCGATACAGAGTCGAAAACTGCCGAAGTGCCCTGATTCGATGGCGACCACTGCATCCGAGTCGAACTCCCGGACTCCCGGATAACTCCCGTACGCCGCAAGGGAGCCTGAGCGGCCGAAAAACTTGTGAAGGCATACTGAAGTCCCTTTGCTGCTGGCAAGGCAACTTCTCAAGTCCCATTTCCTGCAGGAATGGACATCCATTAAAAGCTGGTCCGGTATCCAACCCCACTGACTGGCTCTGTCCCACGTCATGAAACATCTTCGTTATGGTCCTTATTACTGCTCCCACCAGAGGGATTTCTTGGTCTTCATCAGACCTGCGGAGCAAAGTTGAAGATCAGATTCGGCAATGGCAGTCTTCATGTGAATGTGCGATCACCATTGATAGCTTGATACCAATCAGTCAAATCGCAAGAGGTAATCCAACGATCGATAGTGGGCCCCAGCTCCATATGCTGCCAAGTCTCCCAGTCAGACAATGACTCAAGTCTCAGCCCCTTCCTCATCCCCCCTCGTCCCCCCCGGCCCATCTCCCCGACCCCCTCACCCACACCCAGGCCTCACCTTGCCGAGCTCCGTCAGGGCCCACACCATGATGTCGACGGGTCCTGGTTCTACACCGCAGTGATACGTCCCCCTGAACTCTGAACGAAACTTCTTCCCGTAGAAGTCCAACGACTGCAAATCTGGACGGGCCGCGCTGTCGCAGCAGTCATCAGCCCGCCCGCCCTCACCCTCTTGGACTTACTGGATGCGGTTGGGAGCACGGCCCACGTACATGCGGATACATGGGTGAAAACAACACGCAAAGCACCAATTGCCCGCGAAGGACAGGCGGACGAACTTCTTCCTCACGGCCAGAGAGCCGAAGAACTCCGACTGGAACGCCAGCAGCATCCCGTACGTGATGTCATGGATCTGCTTCGATTCTACATCCGACAGTATTCGTCCAAAGACGATTGCACAGAGCTCTTTGTAGATGATGTAGGAGTCGTTGATCTGGGCAGGATGTCAGGCTCAGTCGGCTCGCAATTAGTGTCAGGCACCTGCATGCCGTTGACGACCAGGATGGGGATCTTTTGGTAGGTAGACCACTTGAGCTCTTTCTTGCTCATCATGTTGACGAGGACGCTCTCGTAACTGATGTCACCGTACGAGAGGAGCGCTCTGACCATGACGCAGGGGGGGCTTGCTTGGATCTCGTATAACTTGACCTAGGGCGATCATGCAAGTCAGGAGGAGAGAGGAAGATGAGGAAAGCGAGGGAAGGAGAGGAGTTACATTGGTGATCTGATCCTTGCGGGTTATGGGGAGGGGCTGGGGGAGATCCTGGCCTTCCTTGTTGGGTTGCCATTGGATATCAGTGATTTGTTCCGTCATTTGGACCTGAAGTATACTTCCCTATAAGACTCGGTTGCGTACCAATGATGAATGTATCCAAGAAATAGCTTGTACAGGGTGTGTAAAGCGAAACGAGGGCGTTTTGGAAACAAGAAGTCGCAGGATCAACAGTTCAGAAGACAGAAACCGAAGGACGAGAGGAGATTACAATGTGAGGGAGCAGAGCGCAGGAGAGATGAGGAGAAGGATAGGCGGAGAGAGGTCGAGAGACAGGAGGAGGTGGGGGAACGGGGAGCAGTTGAGAGTAGGGAAGGGACCGGAAGAGTCTCTAGTGGACCAACAATGAATCCACGTATTTTACGCAGGGGTGGTACCATCCCAAACACTTCTTCAGGGAAAAGATGGGGTACTTTGAGTGAATAATGGGGGTGATGTGAAATGGGGTAGGTTTACTTGGTGGGTATACGGGGGTACGGTCATGGTCTTGATAAAGCGGTACCCTTTTTTAAAAGGATTGCTATAATGTCATATTTACAATATAATTTTATTTTAGTGAGAGATCTACCAGGATACTACAAAATTTTATACTGGACAATACAACACATACTCGATGGGATCGTAACGGGGCTTCATTTGTACCATTACATGCAATAATTATTTGACTATCTTTTCTACCTGTGTCTGGGACGTCCCTCGCTTTATCAAGTTTCGATGGTACTATTTTACATATAGTAGTTTTAATAATGCCTTTATGGTACATGCCTCTACAACTCTTTTTTTTAGTAGTAAAAAGGATATCCCTGCCGCTGACTTTTTTATTATTGATTTGTTTCTACGGTTTCAATGCGCCGTTATAGATAACGGTATTGAACGGTCGGGTCTTTGCAGGATGGGCAAGGGAAACACCTGGAGGGGGAGCAGGCATGGGAGGAGGCAGGGAAGAGGCAGGGAAGAGGCAGGGAGGAGGCAGGGAGGAGGCAGGGAGGACAACTGTGGTTTTGGTTTTCCAAGGAGAGGTGAAGTAGGGAGAGGAGGGTGGGATAGCAGTGAGGATGGTTGGGTGGAAGGTTTGTTGAATGCTGGAAACAGCCTTCAGGCGATTGTGAATGGAGTGAGAGCGAGTGTCCCTCGCTGAGGCTATTTCTTTTCGTTCAGTTCTGGAGCTGGATGATCAATTCCTGTTTACGCAAGCGCTTCTCGTCACACGTCGTGAGGTGGCATGTGCTGAATCTGCGGTGCTAGCCCGATCACTGTTGCGCTAGGCAAAGCAACCCCTCCTTCGAGCCTCCAACGGGCCATGGCCAAGAGCAGGATGCTGCATATAAGCTTGCTTCCTGGATCGACAGGTGCAGCTCGCAGAGGATCGTAGCTCTGACAGGCGCGGGAGTGAGCACGGAGAGTGGGATACCTGACTACCGGTGAGGAGGAGGGATGGCCACCTGGTAGACAACTTGACTGATCCATGCTGCAGATCCCCCAATGGTTCGTACAGCAAGGGCCACAAGCCCATCATGCACAACAGGTTCATGACGTCCGTCAACAGTAGGAGAAGGTGTATGCATGCCTCTGCCTTGAACTGGCCGCCTATCTCATAAGGAGCAGGTACTGGGCAAGGTCTTTCTTCGGTTGGCAGCCTCTTGCTCGTGCTCGACCGTGAGTGCCCCTTGAGACGGTGCGAGGAGACTGAGGAAGAGCTGTAGGAACCTGGGGCATGTCGCCCTGCAGAGACTTGAGGGCATGAAGGTGTTCGACCACATCGTCACCCAGAACGTTGATGGGCTACACCAGAAGGTTGGCCGTCAGCCATGACGATCCTCAGATGACAGAGCTTGCAGGCTGGGAGTGTCAAGGTCCTTGATCTGCATGGGAGGAACGACATCGTCCGATGCATGTCCTGTGGGAACCGAATGTGATCGCTCCCACCCCGCGGACCTGAGGTTTTGTCCTGACCCTCCGCAGGTCACGGCAAGAGTTCCATGATCATCATCTCGAGCCGGCAAACAGAGAATGGCTGTCCCATCACGATCACTACTTCACTGCCGAGATGCGAGCGGACGGTACACTCGACGTGAGCTATGTGATGGAGCTGATGTTGTCCAGGCGATGTTAACCTGACTAACTCAGACTTCGAGGATTTTCACGTGCCTGGTGGACAGCACGAAATTTTGTGCCGCTTCTGAACTTTTGCCCTGGTTCAGAGTGCAAAGAATGCGGAGGGATCATGAAACCTGACGTTGTTTTCTTCGGTTCTCGTTCGGGTCTTTCACTTGGCAGCATCTGACGGTTGTGAAGGCGATATCGTTCCCAAGGACAAGAAGGACCAGGCTAGTGAGCTAGTTCAAGGAGCTTCTGGTCTGCTTGTGATCGGCTCCTCTGTCTCGGTTGGAGAGGGCTGAGGGGGGATGAAGCCGAACGAGTGACAGCACTGAGCAGGTACTGTCGTCCTTCCGGTTGGTGCAAGAGGCTCACAGGCGCAAGATTCCCATCGCAGCCATCAACATAGGAGAGACAAGGATGGACAAACAACAAGTCAACCACCTCAAGGTCTGTCAGCCCTGCAGAGTCAGATGCTGTCCATGACCCTGCCTGCAGATCCACGAGCGATGTGGGCCTGTCTTGGAGAAGCTGGTCAAGCTTCTCCAGCGCTAGAGCATGTAAACCCCGACAAGCCTTCACAGCTGCAAGTTTTCCGATTTGACCAGCGACTGCTATGTCTATCAAATGCAAGAAGCTGAGCTCTTAATCTTGTATTTTTCCCGGTGAGGAGGTATGCGACGTTCAGTGTAATTTCATTGTCAAGCAAAAATACAGCACTCAAACTTTACATCGGCTCTAAGAAACAAGGGAGTACTTTGAATTCTCCTCCTTTCTGAAGGCCCTCTTACTATTTACAAGCTAGCAATCATTTTCTTTACAGCTCATTCCGCTCCCCCCTCCTGCCCGGTTCTGATTCCCTTCCAACCCCCTTCACATACGCGCGCGCACGCACCAACTCCAACGAGAGCAATACTCCAGCAGAAAGACGTTGACTTCTATTGGTCCCACCAGAGAGATTGCTTCCTCCCCATCACATCTGACGTGCCACCCTGTCTCAGTCTCCTCCCCCTCCTCTACACATTCAAGTACCCTCCATCGCGTTGGACCATGCTCTCAGACCGCACCCCGCGATCCACCGCTCGATGCTCGGCTCGAGGCCCATGTGCTGCCAAGCGTTCCCTCGTCAGTCCCCGACCCGCCCCTCTCCTCTCCTCCAGCCCCCGTGCCCCCCCAAGCCCCCCGACCCCCCTCACCCACACCCAGGCCTCACCTTGCCGAGCTCCGTCAGGGCCCACACCATGATGTCGACGGGCCCGGGCTGAGCTCCTCCGTGAAACGTCCCCTTGTTGATCTCCGCGCTAAACTTCTTCCCGTAGAAGTCCAACGACTGCAGGTCAGGATGGGCCGCGCTGTGGTAGCAGTCATCAGCCCTCGCCCTCACCCTCTTGGACTTACTGGATGCGGTTGGGAGCACGGCCCACGTACATGCGGATGAGAGGGTGGAAGAAGCACGTGAAGCAGCCGTTGCCCGCGAAGGACAGGCGGACGAACTTCTTCCTCACGGCCAGAGAGCTGAAGAACTCCGACTGGAACGCCAGCAGCATCCCGTACGTGATGTCATGGATCTGCTGGCACTCTAGGGCCGAGAGAGATCGCTCGAAGATGATGGCGGAGAGCTCTTTGTAGATGATGTAGGAGTCGTTAATCTGGGCAGGACGTCAGGCTGAGTCGGCTTGGTTTGTTGTGGCGGCAGGCACCTGCATGCCGTTAACGACCAGGGTCGGAATGTCCAGATGCCTTGTGCTCATCATGTTGACGAGGACGCTCTCGTACTTGAGTCCTCCATAGGCGAGGAGCGCTCTGACCATGACGCAGGGGGGGCTTGCTTGGATCTCATACATCCTGACCTGGGACGATTGTGTTATGCAAATCAGGAGAAAAGAGTTTGAACTCATAGTTCACCTGAGCGACTTCATCTTTTGGGATGAGAGGAAGGGGAGGGTAAGGATCTTCGAAGGGATGCATCGATATTGTTTGTTCGTTTCAAGGCAACAACGAAACTGGAGACGAAGAAGAGGGAGAGAGAGAGGGAGAGAGAGAGGGAGAGGAAGAGGAAGAAGGATAGGGAAGAAGGGGGTTGAGAATGAGTTGGAAAGTGGAGAAGGGTAGATGCGTAGGAAGGTGAAGGGATTTCGTATGGGAAGGGGTTAACGGCGGAGGACCGAAAGGAGTGGTAGAAAGGGGGTAGGGGTCATCAGGAGCTTTTTGCGTTCATGATTATTGTGGTACCATGCATGGTGGAGCAAGGCCATAGAGGGGGTGGGGGTACTTCTAGTCGGTGGTGGTAGGGGTGCAGGCTGGCAGGGTTCACTCAATTGTAATTTTCCAGAAACGTTGTAGTATCAGAGCGTTTCGTGAATGTGGATGAAATTTACGACACACGTTTGGTAACCGAAAGGACTCATCGCAGCTGATAAGTAACTTTTGAAAAAATCAAGTTTCGCCGGGAAAGAGCCGGCGGCGCTAAGGCGTCATCAGATATGCGAGTGTCGTTGGTTGTCATCGTGTACATGTCGCTTCACTGATCGCTTGCTGCTTCACTTGCCTCACACTCACTCACCTCAAGTAGCCGACAAGCCCTTGCTCCTCATCGAGTCCAGCAGCCTCCTGACTCGAGAGACCGCGAGGTCCAGCTGCGACTCGTGCACGGGCCCGTTGAAGTTGGCAATGTAAACCACCTGGCACAGCACGGCAGCGATTTTGTCCCCGTCCCCCTTGTGCAGCACTGCTCTGGGTGAGTCAATCGCCTCCATGAAGCGCACGGTCAGCTCGGCGGCCTGCACAGCAGCGTTGCGGATCCTCCGGATGCCCTTGACGGAGAAGAGGGAGAGGTTGAAGATGAGGAGCCGAGTCACGAGCTGCGTCCACCTCGGGCGATCGAGTTGGCTGCGGAAGAGCTTCCTCCAGTTGCGCAGGGCGTTGGACTGACCGGCGAGGTCGGTGCCGGAGAGAGTCTTGACGAAGTGCCGGGAGGAGTACTTCTGCGCCTCTGCCACTTCGCTCTTGCCGGGGTTGCTGCGGTGAAGTCAGGAGGAGGCGTGTGGGAGAGGAGCGTACAAGATGCCGTAGAGGAAGAGGGAGAAGCGCTGCCGGGGCATGAAGGACATCTTGTTCGCCAACCCGAGGGCCTTAGCGAGGTGCGGCTTGTCGTAGAGCTTCGAGATGAGTTCGCTATGAGTTATGAAGCCTCTTCTCCTCTCGTCCAGCTCTTCGAAGCACTTGCTCGCCATGTCCACAGGCAGGAGGGTCACTCGCGCCCTCCTCCTCTTGCGCTTGAAGCCCTTGGACAGGCCAAGAGCGTCTGCGTCAAACTGACGTCAGCGAGGGAGGAGGAGGAGGGGAGGCAGAGCACGTTTGTCTTGCGAAGAAAAGATGCGGATGAAGTCTTGAAACGAGATGCTCTTCCTGAAGTCCATCTCCTTGGAGCCGAACCTGAGCGTCACAGTGAGCAGCAGGCAGGAGGGAGCTATCGCAGTACATGGATTGAAAGATAGTGGCTGCCCTGTCCTCCTCCTTCATCACCTCACCCAGCTGCATCATCTCAACCATGTTGGGGTATCTCTCCAGACTCTCGATGAGCTGCCCGAAGGAGATGGAGTGCGCGGGCTTGTCCGAGCACATGTCAAACACTTTCATCGCGGTGGGCAGGGAGATTTTGGGGAGGCTCTGCTTCCACCGCGGCATCTTGTAAGGGCGAGAAACGCCGAGCTTGTCTGTCAGTCGTCAGCAACCCTCCAGCTGTCAGAGGCTCCGCTAACCTTTCGACACGTGCGCGAAGGCTACGAGGAAGTCCTCTAGCAGCAGCTCCCTCTCCTTCCAGCCGCTGCTGCTCCCGAAACTGAAGCATCGTCAGAGGTGGACTGGGCAAGAGGAGAGTTGGTACATGTGGAGTGAAACTCTCTCCGCAGCATCGCCTTGCTTCAGCCAGTCCGTGAGCCCCAGGGCGTCCGAGCACGTTCGGTTGCTCTTCACATACTGCATGAGATCTTCGAACTTGACGCTCCTGCCCAGGCCCCCCTGGATCTCCTGGAAGAGGTGGAGCGTGAGGGAGGCTGAGATCTTACTAGGCTTCATGGGAGGCCTGAAGGGGACAACGACCGAGAGCTTGTCTGACGCGCGACCCCCGTCAGCATCAGCAGCTTGAAGACATGTCAAGACCTCTGGAAGTTGCGCTGAATCTCTCGAGGAAGTGATCGAGCGAGATGGGGCGGCTGCCGCTGATCTCCTCCTCTCCAAACCTGCCAGGGCGTAAGAGGAGGGAGAGAGTAGGGGAGGGCTGGGAGCACAGGTATCGAGAGAGCCTTGCGGTGAAGGCTTGGAACGAGTCGAGGATGAATATCCCCAGCTTGACTGCATCATCCCCTGCTTGCAGTGCGTCGCACAAGGATGAGAAGGTGATGAAGCCTCGACTGTTGACGTCCAACACTTGAAACACTTCCAATGCTGTCTTGACAGGCGCGTACTGCTTCATGTGCCGTCTGAAGGCTGTCAAGGAAAGTCAGTCCAAGAGAAGAGCTCAACACGGTAGAGCAGAGCAGAAGAGAAGGAGTACCCTCGTCAGTGGTGGACTGCAGGGAAGCTTTGACGCCTCCCCCAGCTTCAACATCCTTGTTAGTGTTGCGATCAGCCATGAGGCTGGTGAGGGAGTGAATGCCGTGCTCCCAGAGCTCTGAGGGCGACCTCTCCCTCCTAATCGCCTCACGCCATGGGCGAGAGACGAGGAGGGAGGTCAGGTGAGTCCCTGGGGCCTGGTGGATTCTGTTCCTGATGCTCCACCGATCTCCTTCGATCCTCTTCACTTCCTGCTCCTCTTCCGTCTTACTTCTCTCCTCTGCGCAGATTGTCAGGGCCCAAGCTCAACCCGCGTTGATCACATGGGCAGATGAAGAGGAGGAGGAGGAAGTGGTGGTGTTGGAGGAGGAGGAAGAGGAGCAGCGGGAGGAGAGGGGGAGGAGAGGGGGAGGAGAGAGGGAGGTGAGACAGGAGAGGGAGGTAAGAGAGGAGGAGAAAGAGAAGAGGGGAAAAGAGCAGCAGCAGCAGCAGCAGCAGCAGCAGCAGCAGCAGCAGCAGCAGCAGCAGCAGCAGCAGCAGCAGCAGCAGCAGCAGCAGCAGCAGCAGCACCAAGAAAAGGAGGAGAAGGCAGGTGAACTCACCCTTGAAGATGCTGATGAAGTCGTTGGCGTCGATCTCCCTGCTCATCAGTTCCTTGGGGGAGTTGGGCAACTTTGACTCGATCCGCTTCAATCTGAGAGAGCAAGTCAGAGGGCCCGGGGCTACCGGCACAGGGCAGCTACATCATGCTCTGACTGCTCTCCGTGGCCACGTTGAGGATGTTGGCAAGGTCGGGGTTGTTCTTGACGGCCTTCAGCAGGTCGTCCACACGAATGACTTTCCTGTTCCCATGGTCGAGGAGGTTGAAGAGCAGCTTCAGCTCTCCCCTTGTCATGATCGTCTCGTTGAACTTCACCCGCTGCTGTCCGCTCCTCGACTGCGTCACCTTGGTGGGCTGGATGCCCTCGAAGATTCTCCGGTGGTAGATGCGAAATCTTTGCTCGAAGCGCCGGAGGCGAGCTATCAGGTTTGCGCTCTTGCTGTCCTGCTCCTCCACCTGCTGCTGGAGCTGCTTGTTCCCGCTGGTTCTGAAGGTTTCGACTTTGTTTGCAAGGATGACATGCTGGAGGTACTTGAAGCTGCTCTGACGCTTCTTGAGCACGAAGGGGTTTATGATCTCTTGCAGGAGCAGAGAAAGACATTGATGCGTCGACGGCTCCGACTGCGAGAACCTCGGGAGGAGGTTGAACTGGAAGGTAGTGCAGACCTTGCGATCGATAACATGGAACTCGACCCTTCTGCTGGGGATGTCGAACAGCAACAAGAGCTCCTCTGCTATCTGCTCGATCACTCTCGGCTGCTTCCTCTGCTGGAACAACTCGATCCCCATCCTCTCATCAAACGACATGATCACTCCGACCGACCTGTCCGAGTCTCCTCTCACTCCTGACCGCATCTGATCCACCAGCTTCAGCACGTGCTTCATCCTCTCCCGGCCCCCCACTCGATCGGACGGGAACAGCATGGCTGGCAGCTCCTTGAGCCTCTTGAAGAAGTGGATCGAGCTGCCTGTCGAGCAGTCCAGCAGGAAGTCAGCAAGACACACCCCAGCTGCTCGCTTTTGAAACCGCCAGGCAGTTAAGCAAGAGTCCTCCCCGTAGGTGAAGATACGACTCCCATCCATCGAGAAGCTGAGCTGAGAAACTGGCCCGGAGTGTACCTGCACTTGGAGGATGGGCCGTGGAAACGCGTGCTGGGAAGAGTCGAAGATCAGAACATGCCCGTTGCGATCGCCGCACCCCACGAGCTGAATTCCTTCCTCCTGGTCCTTCCAAGAGTCCGTAACCAGGATGTAGTTTTCCCGGGTGTTGTCCAGCAGCCGCAGCTGTTTGCGCTTGTCCTCGTTCTCAGCTTCCTTCTCCATCTGCCAGAAGGACTTGGCCACCTTGTTGTGCCACTGCACAAGGCAGACGTCCTCCCCCGTCAACCTCGAGACCGTTCCCACCACGGCTCTCGACTCCTCCTCCACCAGCTGGCGGGTGACCTGCATCCCCCGCGTCACTCGGAGGTGCTTGCTCACCAGCTTCTCGTCCAGCCACGTGTGCTCGTGCCCCGGTATCACGTGCCATCCCAAGGAGCAGCTTGCGCTGAGCCACTCAACATCGCGAGAGAGGAAGGGGGAGAGGCGGCGGCACTTGAAAGCGTCCCAGAACAAGAGCTCTCCTGCTTCTAACGAGACTGAGCGGAGCCACTCCCCGTCGACAGACCAGTCGAGCTCAGAGACCTGAGACGTGTGGCCTGACAGACGTCCAACGATCGAGGAGGAGGAGGCGAGCGAGGCATTTCCATCCTCCCCCTCCCCCTCCCCCTTCAACTTCTGTACATTGCAGATGAGAACCTCGCGCGAAACCGCTGCTGCCAGCATGTCGCCTGCCTTGTTGATCCTCACCCGGTGGATCTTCTCCTTTCCCAGCTGGATGGTGTAGGTGAGCTTCTGCTTGTCATTCAGCATGAACACCATTGCGCCATCCTCGCAGCCGCAGACGGTGAAGCTCTCGCACGTGTCGACGCTGCTCACGACTCGATCGAGCTTGTGCTTTCTCAGCTTGTAGTTGTCAACCCGCCAGAAGTTCACGTGGGAAGAGTTTCCAGCTGTCACCATCTCGTTGACGTCGACAGAGGCTCTGATCTGCGTCACGTCGGCAGCGAAGCCCTGATGGATCGTTCGCCAGCAGCCTATCAGCACAGCTGTCAGCAACGAGACGAGGAGGATGTGCGAGTACCGTCTTTGAGGTTCAGGTGGAACATTGACATGTCACGATACCCCAGCACAACCTCGGAAGAGGAAGTGAAGTTCAAGAACTGAGGTTGGAGAGTATCCGACGATGACTAGCAATATGAAGTCAGAGTATCACACAACATCAGACATATCAGGCACCAGGTTGTTCTTGAGATGATCTACCTTGAATTCTTCAACCAGGGCAACGCTCTTCTGTATTGCAAAGTTCTGCTCGCTGAGCAGCTTTTTCAACCTTGAAATTTCATTCTGATGGGTGAGGATTTTAACTTTGTCCTGTCATATTTCAGTCAGCGTCGCATCTTCAAGTCACGAGACGACCTGAAGTTTCTCCGCCCTCATTGTCTTGATCGTGTTTTCCAATGAAACACTCTCTGTATCAACTCCGAAGTGTCTGTTTGATACTTGGCGGCACAGAACCGTTGGACGTCAAGCATGAAGTTGAAGAAGTCAACGTAAGTCTCCGCCAGCTTCTTGTTCTTCTCAAGGATCGGGTACCACTCATGAGGACCGATGACGTGGCTCTGACTGAGAAGCTCGAACACGTCAAGAGATTGGATGGTCTTGATCCAGAGGTCGATGGTGGAGATGAGAATCAGACGCGACCGGATGCTCTGTGACAGCATCTTCAGCCGCGCGTACAGCTCGTCGATCTTGAATCTCCTTCCTCCCACCACGAAGCTGTCCGACAGCTTCCAGACTCGCATGGTCTCGTCAGCTCCTACCGTCACCACGAGGTCCCTGTCAGCTTTCACGTCAAGCTCCTTGTTCTGCCTCGCCCTCCTCCACGACACTCTCTCCCCTGTCCCCTTGTCGCCCGAGTCTTGCAAGTCCTTCCCGTCTCCTTCAGTCTTGAAGTAGCCGCTGCGGAACTCATAGTTTGACGCTACAGCCAGCAAGCAGCCCTCATGCGCCCTCTCCGACTGCACCAGCTCCTCCTTATGCCACAGCAGCAGCTCCCCTCCTGTCGTCCCGCTCGCCCACCACTCGCTCGCAACCGCCTCCATCCACGTCTGTCCTGCCGTCAGGTACGCCAGCCCTGCCTCCTCCACCTGCCGCTCGTCAGTCAGAGAGTCCTCCCCACCTCCTTGACGCACGTTCCCCTCCAGCCCCGGGGAGGCAACTTGAAGCAGAGCCCAGGCATGATGTCCATCCGAGACTCGCGTCGACGTGAGGGACAAGGAGCACGAGGAGCTCGCGTCCTCGTCGCTCGGGTCGTGAACCTGCAGGAGCTTGTTGCCCCGGTGAAAGCACAACACGATCAGGTTGGTGTCAGGGATGTGACAAGCGACGATGGGGGGGCCGTGAGGGAGGGAAGTTCGTGCTAGGGGAGACTCAGGTTGAAGCTCCCAGTCAAAGATCAGCACGTCCCCTCCTCCTCCTTCCTCCGCGATCATCAGCAGCCTCCCATCCCTCGAGAACTCAAGGGAGGAGATGGGAGAGCTGAAGTATCCTGATAGACCTGCTGCCCGTCAGCGAGGTCAAAGGAAGCAATAGCTTCACCTAGCATCTCCGACGTCAGCACCCCGTCAACCCACTCCGCACCCTCCGCGTCCCACACGCAGACTTTAGCTACCGGTCCTGCATCCCCGCTAGCCACCAGCCGCTTGTTCGGGTGAACCGTCAGGGTAGTGACCAAGTTCACATGCCCGACAAACAGCCGCTGCCGCGTCTCCTCCTCCATCAAGTTCTCCACAACGCAGTAGATACCAAGAGGATAGAGCATCTCCCCGCTAGCCAGCACCGCCATCGCCCTCCTCCTCGTCGCCCGCGCCTGCCCGAGCACATGCTCTATCCTCACCTCGTACTCGCTGCGAACTCTGCGAGCCTCCTTGCTCGGGGCAGGTACGCTGCTCTGCACCCACCTCAGCTGACGTTGCAGACTGTCCTCCTCCCTCCTCTGCCATGCGATTTGACCCACCACCTTCGTGGACGCCCCGTACCACTCCCTGTACTCGTCCCTCATGGCCACCAGCTCATCGTCTGCATGCTCTACACGCGCTGTCGCTTCCACCGCCACCAGCCTCCATTGCACTGTGAGCTCGAAGGTGCGAGAGGCTGTGACGAAGATCTTTTTGTCGGCATGCGCAACAATGAAATCGACGGAGCACTGAATGGTCTGCTGTGAATCTTCTGCTACCTTGCCGCCTGTCCCTCCCGCGTCTCTTCTGAGAACATGTATGCCTCCACCATTTCTAGTGAGAACATGTATGTTTCCATACACGTTGCCAGCAATCACAGTCTCCTTGTCCGACAGGTAGGTGACAGAGCGGAGCGCTGAAGCCTCGTCCTCTTGCAGGAAGAGGTCCGAGCATTCCCAGCTCAAAGGACACGACAGGGAGTTCCATTCTATCTTCTTCCGTCCTTGTTCCTTCACCTCCTGCTCCTCTGCCATCTTCCCAGTCGTTCTTTCCAGCTCGACAGATCTCATGAGCTCTAGAGTTATGTTGGCATGCCCGCAGTCAGTCGAGCACTCCCTGGTGCAGACGCTCCCGTACAGCAGCAGCTGCAGCTCCCCTGCTCTCATGTCCTGGACCTCCATCCCGTTGACAGTCAGCAGCTCATCGCCGACTGAGATCTGAGCGTTCCCGTACTCGAGGTCGTCTGACCGCCTACCCCTGACGTCGAAGAGCTTGTCGACAGACGTCACGAGGTATGGGAGCGAGTCCGTTAGGCTAACAGCGATCGGAGACATGGAGGACCTGCCCCTTTCTCTCATTCTCTTCACCGTCGCTCGGAATTTCAATTTCTGGTTGAAGATTTCATTGCCGTTATGCGCGTTGTACATCCTCAGGTTGTTGTACATGTCTGTGCATCGGATGTTGGAGCCTTCAAGGTTCCAATCCATGTTGGTCACGGCCTGTCGCAACCCCAGGCAAACCACGGGATCAATCGTTTGCTGCACCAAGTCATCGAAGTCGTAGACACACACTCTCCCGCTCTGCATGCCCACAGCAAGTCTCGTTGCTGTTGGTGAGAACCGGATGGAAGTTGGCCTGTCTCGCCGGAGGAGCAACTTCGACATCAGGTTCTGCTCCAGCCCCAGTGCTGACTGAGTCGCTTCCACCAGCTTGAACCCGAAGATTACCCCGTCATCCGTAGCAACAGCAACGGAGCCCGTCGGGTGCAAGTCAACGCAGGTGATCTTGGTCTTCCTCCTCTGTCTCCTCTCTGCCTTGAAAGAACTCGCGTTGAGGTTAAGAGCGCACTTGGGTCGTCCCTTCCTCGTGTCAGTGACGATGATAACTCCGTCATGCCCCACCGTTGCCATCGTCTCTGTTTGAGGGTCCAACGCTAGCCCGCTCATCGCTTCACCATGGTGTCCAGCCACGTAGAACTCGACTGTCTTCCTGGCCACGTCCAGCACGAGGATGTGGTTGTTCCAAGTGCCGCAGTAGAGCTGGTTCACGTTCCAGGAGACCGAGCACACGCTCCCGATGCTGAGGTTCGCCCCCAACGAGTCGCTTGCCTCCTCCTCCCTCGTGGAGTCAAACCCGCTGATGCGAGGGAGGAAGAGCTCCTCCACCAGCATCTCCCCGTCCTTGAGCTTGCCGGGGTTGGCGATGCGGAAGAGAGGGTCGAAGTTCCACAGGCAGACCTTCTCGTCCTGACCTCCCGTGGTCACCTTCGCTCCCTCGCAGCTGATGCTCAGCACGGGCCCCACGTGCGCGTTTGAGATGATCCGATGGAGTCGCGATCCTCGCCACACGAAGATCAGCCCCGAGCTCGTTCCCGTCAGCATCAGGTCTCGCTCCACGAACCCGATCGACACGTGCGTCTCCTCCGACACCTCATGCCCGCTCCTCACGTTCTCCTGCTCCAGGGCCCCGGCCCTCACCGACCAGATGGCCAGGTGGTTCACCCCGCCCGTCACAAGCCTCGAGCTGTACCTGTCGTACTCGCACACCACAACCTTGAGCTGCGAGGCAGAGCACTTGGCGATGCACTCGCACTGGGACCAGGGTCGCCGATTGTGTCGGACATGGCAAGAGAACACCAGGAGGGTCTGCTGCTCGTCGTCCCCCAGCACTGCCAGGTGATCGCCCTGCACGTTGAAGGAGAGAGCTCGGACTCCCTTGGGCAGGTCGAGCCACAACACCGCATGCTTCTTCTTCTCCTCCGAGGGAGTTGTGCTCAATTCCGCCACAGTCTGCAAGGTATCCACGTCCCATATGAAGACTTTCCCCTCGCCGCTCTGACCAGACGCCATGGTGGAAGGGTCCTCTCGAGGATGACCTGAGAAAGAAGTGATGAGGTCGTCGTGCTGGGAGAAGCATTGTTGTTCAGCTCGATCAAACTCTTGGATCACAAACAAGTTGCCGCATGTGAAGAAAAAACGCTTCCTGGGAACACATTTCATGTTGCCTAACAATCCCTTGCCGGAGTAAGAGTAGGCGCGATCGAAAGTCGGCTGTAATGTTGAAGATTTCTTGTAGAAACCGTTCTCAACGTGATTGTTCTTCTTGGAAATCTCGTCCATCCAATCTTGATTCTGAAACATGCCAAAGTCCTCCAGCTTCTGCAGCTTCAAACTGAAGTTTTCCAACAGCCCGTCAGCAAATGAAGCTTTCGAGCGATCAAACAGGCTCGTCCTTGCCAGCAGGAGGTCGCGATATCGTTGATGAAGGTAGACTATCCTTTCCCTCTCGCCCTCCTCTCTTACCTGCTCCGTGTGTCCTGACTCTATCCTACAATACTCCAGCGAGCGCTTCATCGGCTTACATTCAGCGCACACGCCGATCCCCTGGGGGAGGTACTTGGATATGCTTTGAGAGACCCCTTCTCCTTCCTCTTCCTGCACCACCTGCATCTCCAGCGTCTCGCTCCTGAGCATCTCGTTGTTCCGCAGGCAGAACTCCTTGAGATGGTCCGCCTTCTCCAGCTGCAGCTTCGCCCTCTCGATGCTCTCTCGCATGCTGTCGCCATGGGAGCGGATCTTCTCGAGCTCAGACAGCATGTGCTCCATGCTCCTCATCGACTCGTCCAGCAGCTCGTGCTTTGCTCCCTCTAACTCGTCCAGACTCGTCCTCGTCTCCCACAAGCGTCTCTCAAGCTCTTTCCTCTTCCTCTCCCCCTCGCTGTTCACCCCGGTCACCTGCAACTCCACCTTCTCCTTCTCGGCATCCAGACCGCCTCCCCAAGATCGTCTCGCGAGGAGATTCGCTTCTATCAGCTTCCCGCGCGTCTTCGAGCTCACATGCTTGTTGGTGCTCCTTCGCATCTTGCCTCTTGTTCGCTTCCTTGTATCGCCGCCTCGATACGTGACGAGGCTCTCCTCCCTCCTCCGCACTGACGCACTTGTGTTTGCTTCCTCGATTCAGTCTTTCTCTCCCTCACCCTCTTGTCTCACAGTCTTGAGGGTCTCATGTCCACCTCGTCCTTTGCCTGCTCTCCATTCCAACGACACTCAATCTACGCACTGTCGTATGGCCTTGCCTGCATTCTCTTCTTCCTTTCCCGCTCTCACTCTTCTCTCGCTCTGTCTCTCTTGTCCATCTGTCGCTCCTCCTCCTCCTCCTCCTCCTCCTCTCCTCTCACCCTCCCCTTCTCTCAGTTGGAAAATCTGCATCGAAGGCCTATTTCCCAACCACCATTCATACTACCCCTCGTCGATCACCTACCCACCCTACTTTTAATAGTCTTTTCAAGGGTACTTCACCTCACTTTCCTACCACCCTACCCACTAGGAGTGTTCAGCAACCCCGACTGTAGCTACGGTTGCCCCAGACGATGATGCAGTTGATGATGCAAGAAGTGCGGGACGTGAAGTAGCAGTGCAGAGAGAGAGTGTGTGTGTGTGTGTGAGAGAGAGAGAGAGAGAGTGAGTGAGTGAGAGTGAGTGAGTGAGAGAGACAGAGACAGAGACAGAGACAGAGAGAGAGAGAGAGAGGAGGGAGGGTGGGTGGGTGGGAGGGAGGGAGGGAGAGAAAGGAGATGTTCAGTGTGAGGTTGTGACAGAGAAGAGAGAAGATGATACGATGGAGGAGAAAGCGGTGATGATGGAGGAGTGGAGAGTGAACGATAAGGAGTTTATTGTGCAGGAAAGAATCGATGTATGGTCATAGCGGAGAACGATCGAACAGATACTCTCTTCGACTCCATTGATATGTAGATGGCACCTGGTCGTACCATGGCATCTTTCATATTTACATGCTCCTGATCATTCAGGGAAGTTTGAATGGGTAGGACATGCGGAGTGATTGTTCAGACTTATGTATCTGCCAGCAACGGGAATAGCTGGATTGTGCTGCTGTTTTCCCTATCCCTCTCTTTCTCTCAAGCGTCATTCCTTCTTCATAGATCTCGTTGTCGTCATATTCGAAGTTATCACAGATGGCTTGTCGTTAAATGTAGCACATCGTTGAGAACGAGTGAATTCAGTGAAGTGTATTGCTATATGTGCAAACAAAAACTCCACCACTCACAAACTGTGGCAAAACCTGGAGACTGCCATCAAGGTTGAGATGAGCAGCTTCAAGAGATATAAACATGAACGCTAAGCCTAGGCTTCCGTGGAACGGGAAGGTTTGCAGAAGAACCTTGGACGCTCTTTGGGGAACGAGATGGGTTTAAAAGATTCCTGAAGCACAAGGTCATCACCAGCAAACAACCAGAGCGTGTCAGTCAGACCTGTTCCAGCTTATGAAAGGAGATGAGAATCCCCGTCGTGTTGTCGGTCTCGCTGCACTTCACCGCACGGGAGATGGCGAGCTTGAGCGCGTCCTTCAGGTCGTTGTTGTTCCGTTGCAGGTGCGCCCTAAGGCACGTGACCGCCTCCGCAGAGTCTCTGAAACCGAAACCCTGACTGTTCTCTTCCGACCAGAAGCCATCAGAGGCCAGCAGCAGCAGCTCGTGCTCGTCTGTTATGCTCGTCTGGAAGATCTCCGGCTCAGCGGAGAGTCCAGCCACCTTAGCCCTAGTCTGGAAGCAGAAGTCGCCGAACGCACGTGAGACCCCCAGTATGGAGTTGAGACGAGAGTGTTCCCAGCTTCCTCCGATACTCTCGACTCGCTCGCGCTCTTCGATGTTGTAATAAGTGTGGTCCTTGGTCAGGAGCTTCGACTTGCCCTGCTTATCCGACATCACCGCTCGGCAGTCCCCAACATGCGCGATCACGAGCTCGCGACCGCACAGGACGGCAGCGACAGCCGCCGCACCACTAGAATCCATGCAAGTCTTGGTGCCTTGGACCGATTGCTCTTCCCATTCCCTGGAATCTATCATCTCTTTGATCACGTTGTCCGTTAACTTGAATGCCTGCTTCAGCGCGGTGGCCAGGCATGTGCTGAACCTGCCTCGCAGCTTTCTGTTCAGGCACTTCCTCAACTCTTTCGCAAAATTCTTTGGCAGGTGATCTTGTACAAAATCTACCGTACCTTCGCCTCCATGCCCATCGAAAACAGCAAAAAACGACAAATCTGGCATAGTGATATCCAACAGCTCGGGGAATTTCGGATTGTTGTTCATGATCTGAACCTTGACTGAGCGGTCTTCTTGGTATCGAAGACCTCCGTCATGCGTATCTGCCTCACATCCAATCCATACATGTCTTGTATCTTGGGCAAGCACGTCGTCAAGCTGATAGCCTTCGTCTGCCCAATCGTCCTTATGGTCGAAGATGATGGTGGCAACTCTCAGTTCGTTGGACAGGACGCGAGATGCTACTCCCGATCTCCACTCAGAAGGCCTCCCGAAGTCGATGGGAACGAGCTTGCTGTTGTAAACGACTGGAACGTTCACCTTCACCGACGTGCCCTTCTTTCGGCACCTTTTCGCTGCCAGATACGCCTCTGCAAACCTGGCATAGCGAAACAGCAACTCGCACTGTTGCTGCTCATCGAAACTTTTCACTTGATCCCAACCGTTTCCTTCTCCTTCCTTCTCCCATAGCACCCGAGCGATGGTCACCTTCCTGTCTTTGCCCTGCAGGATTTGTTGCCCCCCTCCTGCAGCCCCCACAGCATTCTTCTTCTCCTTCTTCGAGCTATCGCCATCATGGCCCCCATGCTTCAAGTTTGTTGACCTGCATGCAGGCGGCTGTGTTCTACCTGGTCGCCTGCTCTTGTGTCGTGTCTCCTCCTCTCCTGCCTCCTCCTTCAGCCCCATTACCGCGCCATCCCACCTCCGCGCCGTCCGTTGCACCGTTACGACCCCTCCCCTCCTCCCCACTCTTTCCCCAAATTTCCCAGCCGAAATTTCCCCAGAAATTTCCCCAGATTTCGGGACCACATCCCCGCTCTATACCGTTACAAACCGTTTTATTGGCATTGACAGCTCGCCGAGAATAGAAACCGACATGGCGGGGAGGGCGGCGGGGAGAGTGAGGGGCGTAGGGGGGGCGATGCTGATGGCCTGCCTGCTCCTGATCGGGCTAGACACGCAAGGTGAGCCGCAGCCCATGGGGCAGCGTCACCTGCGGCAGTGCCATGACCCAGTGACTGACCACCGTCCTCCAGGGGTTTTCAAGCCGTCGAGAGAGGACCTGCTGCTCTCGCGCGTTATCCGGCTGCTGTCCTCGTCGAACTCATCGCATGCAGACCTCGTGGAGGCCATTCAGATGATGATCAAGGCCGCAGGGAACCCGGAAGCCTCTCAGATGGCGCAGGCAGCGCTGAAAAGGGCAATTTCCAACGTTGTATCCAGGAGCATACAAACTGCTGCTGAGCAGAATCAGCCGCTTTCCTGCGATGAGAGCGCTAGCGAGATGAACACATCGGGAATCAGTTCCATCTGTGCAGAAATGAAAGATTTGCAAAGCCAGCTTCATGAGGAGAAGCACAGGTTGATAGATTCACACAACAAGATGCATGAGGTGATGGAGATGAACGACAAGTTGGTGGCGAAGGAAGAGAGCATGGAGAGACTGTACAACGACAGTGAGGTTGAAGTAGCGAAACTTTGGCGTTCATTGCACCGCGCCAAGAAGAACGAGACTGCTCTGCAACATACGGTTTGACGTTGCCATGAACGAGGGTTTGTGCGGAGGTAACTATTCCTATAGGTGAGGGTAGTGGCTTCTATGTTGGGGAGGAGCGAGAAGATGACCAAGACACTTGAAGAGTACATAGCTGTCCTGATGCAAATCTCACAAAACCGAACCCTCGAGTTGAATTCAAAGAAAACTTTTATGGACGAGGAAAGAGGATATTTCAAGCAGATCTCCGACTCTTTGCACAACTTGATCAGCGAAATTCATCACTCGAAGGTGCTGACGATCAACTTGACGGAAAGTGTCTTGACTCTTCAAGCAGGCTGGAATCAACCAGACCAGCAGAGAACAGCATAATCAGTCGCGCTGGGGCTACAACGTGTTTCCTGGATGGCAATTCGTGCGGAAGGGGGGAGAGGAAAGATTCGCTCCTGTGGTGCTCACGGTGCTGAGTTGTTTGTCTTCTATTGTGCGTTCGATGATCTTGACGTGTAGGATGGATGGATGGCGATGAACGACCCTGAGGGTCGGGTGTTCTTCTCCAACATCAACACAAATGAAACCTCCTGGCTGCCCCCAGGCTTTCTGCCTTGCGACGACAGTTTCATGCCCATGCTCGTTGATAGAAGCTGCTGGATCTCTCGAGACGAAAAGGGGGAGTTGGCACCACCATCAACAGCAACAGCAACAGCAACAGCAACAACAGAAACAACACCTCCTTTATCGTCAACAGCATCGCAAAATGTATCGGTTGGTGAGGATGAGAGGATGTGGCGAGAGCTGCATAACGTTTCCGCGTACTTGCGGCGGCTAGCCGACGTTCTCGGTAAGAAGCAGCAGCAGCAGCAGCAGCGGAATTTGCAGAATGGGAATAGACCTCAAGCTGTAAAGCACGAGCAGGGGAAGCAGCAGCAGGATCAACAGATGGGTGTCGAAGGGACTATGAAGCAGCAGGGAGGAGTCAAAAGGCAGCAGGAGCAGCTGCAAGTTCCAAACTTCTGGAAGAAAGTGCTGGAGGAACAGAAGAAGAAGAGCGAGAGATGGAGCGGGCAAGCACAGACGAAGGGGCCGTGGAAGACAAGGGAAGGAGCCAAGGAGATGGTCGACTCCTTCTCCTTGCCGCTGCCAACCCCGAGGGCCTCTGAGAGCCAAACTGAAGGATTGCTCCCGGGGTATCCGAGCGGGGAACAGACGGCGATAGCGTATAGAGACCAGCCCATGATCCATCTCGCCCCTCTCCCCTCTGCTGAGATCATCCCTCCCACCTCCTCTGCTCTCCTTGTCCCCTCCCCTGCTCTCCTTGTCCCCTCCTCCAGCCTTGCAGCCCGCCGAGTGCTTGTGGAGCGTTGGGTCCCGACAGGGGAGGAGGCACCGCAGGAGCAGGAGCAGGAGCAGGAGCAGGAGGTCACGCTGGGAGATGGAAGGGGCAGGAATCCTCTTTTGCTAGCACAGCGCGCCGTTGAACATGCGACGCCGTACGGGGGGAGGAGGATGAGCACCATGATGGAATCGCCCCATCGAGAAAGGGAGGAGGAGGAGGAGGAGGAGGAGGAGGAGGAGGAGGAGGAGGAGGAGGAGGAGGAGGAGGAGGAGGAGGAGGAGTTTCGGATGATCGGTGATGGTTGACTACCATTACGCTAGCTGGAGGGCTAGGCTTGTAGCGGGCCCGGGCCTGGCGGCCGGAAGCCAGATCACCGGGGCTGCACTGAATGTAGTTTAGTTGGACGAGTTGAAACTTGATTCGGCGATTTGAGAGTGGGATGGATACGCTCGGGTTCGTTTGATTGGCGGCCTGCGCGCTTTCTTCGCTTGCGTGCTTCGGCTTTTCAGCAGTGCTGTAATCATCGACAAGGAAGAAGCCCCCAATCTTCATGTACAACAGAGCCGAAACAAAGGAGCAGCGAGCGCTGTTGTGCCTGTAGACTAGATACAAAAATTTACTTTCTACACTGCTTTCACAGGATAACAGTAAGAAAGGTTTTTAAAGTACCTTTTCTCAGCCGAAGCTACGCAACTGTTGATTTCCCCTCCTTCAGTCTCGTGCCTGCCC